GCTGGCTAGAGCATGCACATCTCCTTCCCTTTACCACCCCTCACCTCATTTCTGGGCTCACTGACCATCCTCCAAACTGTGTTGGAAGACAAGGGGAAACCCAGATTACCCTTGTGGAATTAGGGCAATGTCCAGGAAGGAGTAGGGCCGGCTTGAGGATAGTAGGAGGGGGAATTCCCAGGGAGGCAGGATTAGAGGAAAGGACCAGCAGGGATACCAGGCACTTGTTCCTATCTCTGTTTCGGACTTTGCTCTGACAAACCTTTGTGCCTCAGATTCTCCACCTGTAAAACAGTAGATTTGGAATCTTTGCATACAATGGAGATGAGGCAGTTTATTGATGGCACAGGGGCTCTGACCAGTGGCGATGAGCTGTCATGAACGCCACATACCATTGGGATCCCCACCCCTACCACGGGGGAGATGCTGGAAGCCCCCACACCATCACCTTGTATTCTAATTCATGCAAATACACTGGGTATTGCAGGGGAGGGGAAGAGGCCACCTCTCCCCCATTTAGAGATGCTCTCTCCCTCCATCTCTTCCCCCCTTTGTATTACAGAATGGAGAAGAAAAAATAGCTCAGGTTGGTGGTGGTGGTGGTGGGGGGAGAGAACAGGGAGAGCCTAGAGAGGGAGGAAATGAATGATTTAGAGAGAAGTGGAGAGTGGATTTAGTGGAAGAAAGATAGAGAGAAGGGGGTGGAGGGATGGGGGATGAGTCCCTCCCACTCCATTCCCCATTCCAAATCCTTCTCGCTTCCTTCCACGAAAACACTCAATTTCGCCCTGCCAGCCCTACCTTGTGCACCTCATGGCAGGCTGGCATCACACGCTACCCATTACCGGCCAAGCCTTGCATCTTTCACCGGCCAACGCCAGTCCAGCAGGCGACACTGGTCATTATTACAGGAGCACCTCCAAGATCCCATGAGGCTTGGGGTCCCATTGTTGCCAGGTGCCGGACAAACCCGGAGAGAAAGAGAGGCGCGCTGCCCTGAAGAGCTGTACAGTGTTTATGACTCAGACACGACAGACTTCGGTAACGTGGCGCACCCTCTGTGACTCGAGCACCTTCCAGAAGGTGAGAATTGAATCCTCAAAACGTTGCAAAAAATCAGGAAATGCAGTTAAGGTGATACTTCCCACACAACGCAGCCGTGCAACCTTAACTCTGCCCCTTTTGATCTTTTCCCTCAGAGAGGCCACAGAACCCTACCCCTTCCTTAAACATTTGTATTCAGAGTAATCACTGCCAGCCAGCGATAAGTACCCCCAAAGTAACGGTGGTGCACAGCCCCTCCATTGGAACACCGAACAGGAATCCTGGCCTACAATTGCGGTGGAGACAGAGAAAATGGCAGTTTTTATTAGGGGGAATGGGCTACTGGGATGTTCCTCTTTGGCACTGCAGCAGGGGCAGAGTTACAGCTGCATGCAGGTTTGTGCGGGAAGTGTCGCTTTGCCTGGATTGTCTGGTTTTCCAGGGTTGCTAATTTAGTATACAAGAGTTTAAAGGGCACAAGGCACGCAGGCCACTGCTGGGAGCCTTCAGCCTCAACTCCATGGTAACAAAGCTTCTTCCCTGTGAATTTCCATCAGGGTTTTATTTAAATGGGGGGTAATGGAAGTGCAGCTGTAGCAGGGTTCCTGTGCACTCCTCACAGCCCCTCAGCTACCCCAGACACCCCTTCCTTTGTCTCCTCTGGATGTAGCCGCCAGAATCCCTGACAGAGGGCCTCCCCCTCTCCCTGGAGAAGGGAAATTATGAATGAGAGATTCCTCTAAAGCTCCTTAGTACCAAAGCAGCCAGGATTGCTTCCAGTCTCTAAACAAGCTCCTTAAGAGCCAAAATAGCTTATGGATAGGGGGACTGAGCCACACAGATTAAAGAGGCACTCAAAGTCTGGGAGCTAGGAATCGAACCTAGGCCTCCTGAGTCACAGTCCAGCACCTCAACCCCAAGACCCCCATTCCTCCTAAATCTCTCTGGGGTGGGGTGTTCTGGGCACAGAACTCAGAAGGGTGCCTATCTCCATTTTGGTTTTTTTGCTCTCATTCTGTAAGTAGTCTGTGGCGCACAGGACAGAACTTAGACTCCAGGCACGGCCTCAGTTGGGAGACTGCAGACTCACCCGTAGATCTTGGTGAAGGTTGGCAGCCCTGCAAACTAGGTCAGTAGGTCATCAACACACCTCTTTCAGCTGACAAAGCTGATGGTGCTGCAATCCAAACCTAAACCCGCTTGTAAAGGCAGTCTACAGCCTTGCTCGGACTAGGCTGTAACGGGGTGGTGTTAGACCAAATATGTATAATTTATAACAGATAGATCTTTAAAACTCCTTCATTACTTCAGGGCCAAACTTGTTTATGCTCTGTACCACTGAATGCAGACAAGGATGTACAAGGATGTCCACCGGCCATGCAAGTGCCATAATACTGGCAGGGAAGTAGTGAAAACTATCTGTGGAACAAAGTCACAGTAATGAATTTAGTGGCTCTGAAAAAAATGGCTCTTCAGAGCTGTTTGAAGCACCTGGCCCGGTGGCATGCATTACAGCTGAGTACACAGTACTCGGACTAACCACACGCTTGTTCAATGTGTTAGGAAACAACAGTGAAGAGCAAAGTTCACGCAGCAAGCCCAGGCACCAAGTAAGCCCCACATTAAGAGGTTAAAGAGAGGGTTAACTGGTACAGAGAACCTTGCCAGGACTCTCCATGGTGGAATGCATTTCATCCTAAACAAATAAACCTCTTGGCTCTTAGACCCAGGGCTTTGGAGCGGAGCCCGGAGCTGGAGCGCGGAGCAGCTCCGGAGCAGTGGAGCTGCAGGTTTTTGCCTGGAGCCGGAGCACAGCTCCAAAGCCCTGCTTAGATCTGCTCTTAGAAGAAATTTTAGCATTTGAATAGACATGATCTTAGACGTTTGGTCCTGCTGACCGTGGTGTGCTACAACTGCCACACTGACATGGCTTTCTCAGCCCCAAAACACTCCATCAGAGCATTCCCCTCTGGGTAAAGATGTGCAAGGAAACTACAATACCAAACATATGAGGGATCTAAGAGATTAATTAGGTAATATTTGTGAGGGCTTTGAAGATGGTGCACCTCACAAAACCACTCTGACAGGCAGACACTGCTCCAAAGACATTCCATACAAGAAAGACAGGCCTCTTTCCATTAGACACGTTATGCAGGCGGAGCCGCAGAAGGAAGCTTGCACTGAACAATGGACGTGATTTTGATTTGTTACATCCTGAGTAACTGCATGTACATTTCGAGTAACTACTGGATTCAATGGAGTTACTTTGCTGTATTAAAATCTGACCTGATCTCTCTTACTCACTCTCTTAACTTTAAAATCAACTCACAAGCAGTTTAAAAGAAACACACACACTCAAAAGTCTGCAATTCTCTCCACTGTATTTATTTTACTAGGAAAACAGTCCATATCAGGAGAGGACAAAACAAAAGAGATAGCAGCAGCATAAACCCCAACCCAACCCTGAATAATTCAGACACTTTGAAAAGCCTTAAATCATCCAATGTATCTGCTGGTGACTGCCTGCCTCTGCAGGATGCTGAAACGTGTCAGCATTCATATCAGGTACATGAGGCAGCATTACAGCTGAACGTTGCCTCCCATAGCTGGTAGGTTTGGCAGGAATGGCGTTGTTAACAGAAACATTTCATTTGCGTGTTGTTGTTGCTACATCATCACATTTACAATGAATCAGAACAGCAAGATTTCCATTCAGCTCCGTTCTACCTTGACCTAAAAAAGTTTTGTAAGGACAAAACCCAGTGCCTAATTACTGTGTCAGATTCACCAAGTACAATGTGTTTATAGCAGAAGAAAGATAATTAGCAGAGCACCCATCTGACTATATAGCAAATTAGTCTCATATAGGCAATAAATCTCCCCACCTCCCAATAAAACATTTAAAGCTACAACGATGCAACAATCTCTTAGAAATATTCTCTTGGTTGCAACAACTGCACTTCGAAAATCCTGGAAGTTAGTCTCCTTGTGTTATTTTTTTTAAAACAATCCAGAACACCCAAACCTTTTAGTAGTTACATGTCAGTCTCACTGACTTGGCATCTGCTTTCACACGGAAGGCATGTCAGGATATAACGGGGTACACAAGGTTGACCATAATTAGGACTGATCTGTATAGTAAGCGGGAGATGTTCATGTTGCTCTGTGTGTGTCTGTCTCTTTCTGGTTGCAGACACAACAAGAGTGCGCTTTGGCTGCTTGCCACACTTTTGGCATTATATAAACAAGAAAACAGGCATTTCCTTGGCAAAGGCTTTTAAGCAAGAGAACGTCTGAAGTTCTTTGAACCTGTGAAGTGCTATATAAAGAATTATCGTTACAACCAGAACAGAGGGCAACGTCTAATATAGTTCGCTTTTTATCTTCTACATCAATTGTAGATAATACAGTAAAATCTGCAAATGTCATCTGCATAGATCTATTGTTTCAGCCCATATCCAGCACGCCCAGAAGAAAACCTTCAAACTAGGAGTATAACACGGTACAGTTGCATAGCTAGCCTGGGTAATGCCAACTGCAGTTTCAAAAGCAACTGTATGTGACACGGATGCGGGATTTGGAAGCAAAATGGTTGGATTGGTAGGGCGCATACAATTACCCAGCATGCTCGTCCAGCTCACAGGGCTCTGAGCTTTCAGAGCAAACTCAAAAGTTTGGCTGTGCTTTTATGTACACTTGGGGCTAAATTCCACCCTCTAATGCGTCCACAGGGCAGTCATTGAAATCACGGCGCCGCAGATGCACCAGAGAGTGTAGTTTAACCCTGGATTCTTTTTTAGTGTCCTCGGGGTGGGGTGGGGTGGGGGGAGAGAGAGGGGGAAAAGGAAGATGTGGCTCCATTTTATTCTGATTATTTACTCTAATCAATTGAGAAGCAAAACATTGGATAATGTCTTGCAGTTCATGTTTAGAAGTAATCACCACATCTCTTTTTCACGGTTATGAATAGACAGGGATTTTTTTTAATGACCTGCGTGTTATTAATTTACGCTACTGCAGTATCTTCCCACACTGTGAAATGCATTATCACGCCGTGCTCTGAGTGACAGCTCTGCTCTCAGGTTGGAGGTTGATGAGGGAATTGCTTGCTTCGGCCAGTTCTGCAATGGAGACTCGTCCTCTCTGTTTGATAAACTGAGCCACTGCGGTCATCTCCTCTGGAGTGATATAGATGAACTTTCCTCGGTCATCAATCACACCTAGAAGACAAACGTGACCTGGAGTCAATACTTCAAAGCGAACTACGTTTCCCCAATAGACATTAATGACCCCACACCGTTAGTTAATTCAGGGACTACAATTACACTACACAAACTAAATTCCAGATTTAGCAAGGCACTATGGTCCAGCAGACAGGGGCACTGGTCTAGGAACAAGGAGACTTGGGTTCTTCTATTTCTAACTCTGCCGTTGGCCTGCAGGTGACCTTCGGAAACACACTTCTGTGCCTTCTTCTCATACTTGGTCTGTCTCGTCTATTTTGATTGCTGGGGCTTGGGGGCAGGGAGTGTTTCTTAGGTGGTAGAATTCCTTTGCTGCAAATCCTACAAAGAACTTAACATTTAGGCTGCTGGTGTGCCGAGACCACAGCCCGTCAATTGGATCAATATTGTCTCCTTTTTTCCTTGCACTCCTTATCTGCCTGTATCCACCTATTGTCTCGTTTTATACTTTGATTGTAAACTCTTTGCGGCAGGGATCGTCATTTTGTTCTCTGTTTGTACAGCGCCTAGCACATCGGGGTCCTGGCCCATGACCGGGGCTTGCAGGAGAATAGTCTCTGTTGGGCTGAGAGGCAGCAGAACACCACATATAATAAATAATAAAATCAAAGGAGTGTACTGCTAGTATTTATTGTAATAAGACAGTAACACATTAACAACTGTAGCCCAAGTTGCCAGCACTAAAAGGCAAGTGCTCTAACCCCGTGTTATCTAGCCCCCTGTAGCAAACCCTCTTCAAGTCCTTCAGATAATTTAGCTCCCTTGAACATAGACAATACCTTTCCCTACCCGTCAAATGATGACAAGAATGAACACCACTTGCTATTACCGTAATTGTATCTATTCAGGGGACACCAACTTAAAAAATAGGGATACGAGGACAAGCACTGGCTGAAGTTCTACTGGACACTTGTAGAACTAGAAACTATTTGAACTTAATTTTGAGAAAGGGATTAGATTTCAGGCTGGCAGTGATTTAGGCGAGTTCGTAGGCTACTCCACCAGCTGAGGAAAGGGAAATCCTATCTAAACAGCTGCACAGTTCCAGGGTTTTGTTTGTTTTGGTTATTTGGCATTTCAGGTTTTTCTTTATTAACTTAGGAACAAAAGATTCACAGCAAAACGTAACAGTCTAGTCTTTGTCTCCGCGGCTTCCCAGACCCCTGGAGAGGCTTTCCCCAAACCAGACCCTGCTTTCTGTTGTTGTTTCCCTCCTAGCCTCCTTCTGACAGGTGGGGAGAGCCACCGCCCACTTCCTTCCCTGACCCAGTCTCTCCTGTCTGCTTCTCCTGCCCAAGATATATGCAATTTCCTGTAGGGCACATGACTAAGAGCAGGCATGTGATCCACAACTATCACTCCCGGTTTTAAAGGCCCCCAGAGCTGTAACAAGTGCACTGGGATAGCCTGTATGCACCCCAAGGACTGGTGCCCCGTGACAGTCCCTTTTCTAGGCTCTAGGTGTTATGTTTTTTAAAAACTGGTTTGCAAACTACCCGAAATCCCCCACACGATTCAGCTGAGACTTTTCTCTTTGCAAAAATAATTTAGCTCTGAGAGAATGAAATTCACACCTGTGCAGCCCAGCAATGCCTGTATGCAGTTCAAGTGCTTCAGCAGAACTCAAATGATACACAGGCCTTGATGTGGAGACTCTGCCGGGGGGTGAAGGTGCATTAATTTTAATTCTATACTGCAACAATAATCAGGTACAAAAATGCTAGAGCACCTCTCCAGGATGGCAGTCCATTTTAAACCACCAAGTTTCAAAGCTGAAATTAGGGTAATTAACATATCTATTGATCAAGTCAAGTAGGAGTCCTTGGTGATTACAGGATAAATTCAATAGAAAGCATTTTCTTACTACCTGGCTTAGGGGTCCTATGCATTTTCTGCATCATCTATTAACATACTAAACAACTCAACAGAAACCCAAACACGTTTCCACTGTCACCTGTTAGAGTGCCATCTGCCATCAGGTCTTGTACTCTATTAATTGCATCCTGTTGGAGGGGTGGGAAAAAGAACCAGTTAAAAGAAGAGAGATCTCACATTTCCAGGCATATCAGAGAGATTGTGCTTCATGTCTTATTCTTGAGTGCAGAATATTTAGGTGAAACATGCATATCAGCATTTCTACACAAATGCAACCGATAAGCCTGTTATCGGGACAAGGTTTTGTCTTAGCCAGGATGCGGTCAGCCTCTGTAACCCGGTGTATGCAAATAGCTCTCTCCCCACAAGAGGCTGTTCTTGCAAACTTATCTGAATGCGAGAGGTATGATTAACATATTTCATGGAAGGGGATTGCATAGAGACCTCTTGAGCATTAACAAAGAAGGGTGTACGTGTACAGAAACAAAAGGGCCAGACCATGCAACTATGCCTATGTACACCAGCTAAGGATCTGGCCCAAATACAGTAATGAAAATGTATTTGTTCTGCTTAAAGTCTGCTGTGTTCTCCACTGGCCCAAAAGGTAACATGCCAAATTTATCCGTGGGGTAACTCCAAGGGTTTTTATTATTTATAGAGCAGCTGAAGTGTCCTAGGCATGTCAGAATTAAATCGAATACATGGCCCTCCCCAAACTGCAGACAGAGCCAAGGCAGAACAGGAAGAGACAAATGTAGACCGGGGGAGGTTGGGTGGGGGGAGGAGAGAAGAAAGAGAAATGGAGGACAGAGGCCAAAAGGTGCAATGTAAGGTCAAGATTTCCCTTGGAAGGTTCTTTATAGTTTTTGCAGGGGTGAGGTTGCTTGTTTTTCATAAGAAAACACACCCTAAAAACATGTTACCATTTAAAAATAATTTAGCAGGCTATAAATTGGGGAAGGGGGCAGTGTGGGAGGGAAATGCCAGCAATAAATGAGTCTAAGGACAAAAATAACTATCATCTGTTCTTTTACTGTACATGAAATAGTATGGCCAATGTTGTAATTTTCCCCACTCATCTGGGCAGCTTTCACCCTATCCAACAATGACCATGCTCGTAGCTATATTCTAGGATACTTTGGGCTACAGAGTCACATAAAAGAGAGCACGCAAACGTGTGCTGGATACAAAGAAAGGCTGGGATTACAGCTCCAGCGGCCAGCAAGAAGTGCTGGGGTACAAGACATTCTGAGCATGCTCCTTCATGGCAAGGACTCACTGGCTGATGAAGTTATTGGCTGGATGGCTCTTCCAATGAATTCCGTTAGGGTGGCCCTTCTGTTGAACTTCAGTCAAAACCCAAGTATTTTCAGTAGGACCACCAAGAGTCACATGGAAATTACGCAATTTGCCCACACTCCCATTATTAGCATTGGTGTATTAGGTCTGACTTGTAATGCTTACCTGGGTTCTTAACCCCAAATGGGAAGCCAGGTCTTCCAGAAGAACCACCTTTGCATTCTACGGAAACAAAGAAGAGTTGTAAGCAGCTGATGAGAATGGGGACTAGCTTTTTATCTGTTTGGCCACAGAAATATGCAGGATGCATCTAGTGGGAGAGAAACTAGAATTCAAGTTCGCAATTCCTAGCAAACTCTCCTGCTTGGGAAACAACTGAGTTGAATCATTTATTTAAATCAGTTTTGCTTACGGAGAAATTAGAGGCTCTTTTCCACTGGCGGATGAAGCACTGCATGTGTTTCTAAAGATCTGTTATGACCAATCTCTTAGAGAGGCAAGATAAGCAGAAACATTTTTGACTATTGACGTGCAGCTATTCATAAAAGGTGCCTGACTGTTCTTCCTGCAACCTATATCTCTCCCCACCAGTATTAACGTAAGCTTTCAGTTTGCACAAAGCTATTCCTTTTCACTTCAGTTTGGGATGTTGCAAATTACGTTTAAAAAAAGGGAGAACTGGGCCAGATCTTCTGGTGTACTAAGCTCTTGGGTGGTTTGTCTGCTTCCCCCCCCCCCCCCCCCCCCAACACTAGTGTTGTTGCCTTAATGACCTTCTTTAGCAAGTTAATCCCTTATCTAGTTTCTCATAGTTAGAGATGTACTCCTAGTGCTCTGTCGAAGGGCAGCGCAATATGGACTGAGGACAGAACTGGGAGCAAAAGAACTCGTGAATTTTCTAATTGGCTTTAGCACGGACTCCGTGTGTGACTTTAGCCAAGTCATTTAGTATCTGATTCACCACTGCTTTACTCTAGTCTTACACTGACGTAACCAGAGGGAGTTACACAGAAGAAGACTGGAGTCGTACAATGCACTGGTGAAACGGGAATTCAACCATTCCATGCCATGATTTCCCTATCCGTAAAATGGGTTAATATCTCATTTATCTAAATGCACTGTAAAGACGCATTAATGCTTGTAAGGAACTTTAAATATAAAGGGCTATAGAGGTGCTAAGTATTATTCTCTTAGTTCCAGGCCACTATTCCTTCCAGTATGGTGGGACGGCAATATCTTGGGGAGCTTTATAATCTCAGATGCAAGTATTATGTTTAAATTGGACAGAACAGTTTCAGAATGATAACGTTTATATTTGGACTTATTTAAGGACACAGCAACTCTAACCTGACTGGACATCTGGGAAATAAACAGGTTGTATACAGTCATGCCCTCTCTCATTAAGGAAAACAAAACCAAAAAAACCACAGACTTACTAGTTGTGAAGTTAGATACAGCCAAGCTAGAGAACTGACTACCATGGACTGAAGATACAGAACTGAAACCAGTCCATGGAATTCAGTTCTCAGAGCTGGGAACTGCTATGGATCATCACATCTTCATTTTAAAGGATAGGGGGCAAAAAACCAAAAAACAAACCACCCCCAACCCCTTACTAAATGAGAAAAGAGGATTTAAGTCTTCCCTTAAAAACAGTCATCCCCTAACTACTGAAACAGTTTATTGGAAGCTTTCCAGGTTAATCGCTTCATGGCTGGTATTCTAGGAAATCGAGGCTCTCTTTTGCAGAAATACAGTCACTGAAGCTTGAGGCCTGAGTCATGGCAGAGCACTTAAGCACGTGCTTAACTTCCAAAAACACACGCTGAAGTTCCATTAATTTCAATAGGCCGGCCTGTGCTTAAGTACTTTGCTGAACTGGGGCCAGAAACTGTAAATTAGGGCCAAATCCTGCTCCGGTTATTTACGCAATGAATCCCACTGTAATCCAGGGGAGGATTCATGTGAATAAGGGGACTAGGATTTTGACCTTATCTCTGAGAGAGAGAGAGAGAGAGAGAGAGAGAGAGCGAGCGAGCGTGCGCACCTACGTGCACTCAGGATTTATCCCCCAGCCTCTTTCGGTATTTTTGCAACAGGTTCTTTTTAAAAACAAACTGGCAGCCACCTGAAGCTGCTCAGAGGTTTGAAACGGGGAGTCCAAGTGGAAATGGTTTAATGGGCCAAGGCCCAGTCTGAGGTACACGTGTATGTTTCTCTTTGTATTTTAGGCTGCCTCACCAGCACTTTGCCTGCTCATCCTTCTCCGGTGGGACTACTTCCCATGATCCGAGCCTCCCTGCAGCTTTCAAACCGCCACCAATTAATTTGTAAAGTTCCAGTTGGGCCCACAGAGTCCTCCTTTTTGTGAAGTGGCCTGCACAGCTCTGGCACCAGGCTCAAACCCAGCAGCTTTTCTGTTGCTCTACTGCATCTCTTTCAAAAGCCAGAACCCCAGTTTGTAACGTCACAATCGGTTGCTGGGGAATGGAAACGCTTTTGGCACTGATTACACACACACACGCGCAGGATCACAGAGGCCTGAGACTTTAGGAGCTGCAGATGAATTTAATAACCAAGGGATTTTCAAAGGAGCCTGAGGGAATTAGCTGCTCAATCTCCATCTAATTTCAATGGGATCTGGGTGCCTCACTCCCTTTGGGTCTGTTGTAAACCCAATCTTAATCACAAAAACCCAACCCCCAAAAACAAACCGAAGAGAGGCTACATTTCATGTAAAACATCCCTAAGAATAAAATCTGAAGCAAGCTGCCTCCACTCAAAAACTGACACCGGCAGAACAGCTTCCTCAACAGAAAGGTTAAATTACAAATTTTTTTTTTTTTTGGAGGCATCGGCTGCTCTTTAAGACCACGTGACAGACGCTTTCAGACTGATGCTGCCGGATTAGCACTGTTTCAGCAGAGAAGTCATTCCTTCTGAAAAAGCAACAACATAGCCAGCTAGGAGGGACTGCATGCTGCCCTTGTCTTCTCTAAACCAAGTATATTTTCATGCTAAAGAGAAAGTTAAAAATGTTAAAGAAAATATTGCTCCCAATTCTGCTGTCTATCCCTATTCAGCAACACATGTGCTTAAGTGCCTTCCTCAATTAGGATGTTTTTCTGAATCAGGGCCTTTTGTATGTGCTTATGTCCCACTTGAACCACATGAACCAAGCATCTTAGCTTTCAGGTCTCAGAGTCACACACTGTTATTGTTTCTCCGGTTTCAGACAGACAATGTAAATGGCAGTTAAAATGTAAGTTGAGGCTTCTCTTTTAATTGGAGAGCGCGAATCACCACAAATACCCCAAACTTTAAAAATGAAGCCCCCCAATGCTATTAAAAGGAAGCCTAAGACATCCTGACGAGTGATCTTTTCTACAACACCTCTCTAAAGGTTAAGACACTGCCACGCATCTCAAGGGTAGAGAAGTTAGAGAGGAAATCAAGTGAGAGGTTTATGTGACCTTTACTGTGCTTGTGTTTCAAGAGGATCAAAAAATGCACGTGGTACAACAGACACCACATAAATTCAGCAATCCTCATTCTCACTCGGCAGTGGGGGGAGGGGAACTAAACTGCAATGGAACCAGTGAATTAAACTTTAAAAATAAATAAAATCACTACGGTGCGTTCAACATTCGCAAACTCAGGGCCGAATCTTGCATGGTACGGAGTGTCCTCAACTACCACTCACCTCTATGAGAGTTGAGGGCAATCACCACCTCACAGGACTGGGCACCGAGAAACTGGCTAGGTAAATTTTTTAAAAAAAAAAAAATATAGTACCTTTTCTATTCAAGACTCAGAAATTTTACTCCAAGGACTATGGGTATGTCTACACTGCAGTCAGAGGTGCAATTCAGCACCCGAGCTAGCTCCGATCTAGCAGTGTACAAAGAGCAGTGAAGATGCAGCAGCAGCGTGGGCTGTACAATCCCGCGCTGGGTACTTACTTGGCACCTAGCCTCTGCTGCTGTGGCTTCACCGCTACTGGTATTTGAGCTCGCTAGATCAATGCTGCTATGGTGCGTGTACTTTTGCTCCAACTGCAGGGTAGACAGACCCTAAGATAGATGTCATTGCTGCCAAGTCCAGATTACACTATGAAGGTCTTTTAAAGGTGGAATGAAATGCTCAGTTATTGATAACTTCTAAAAGGAAATTACATGTTCCTAAAGTGATCTGCTTAAACTGGACTATCTAGAACACTATCCCAAAGCAAACAGGAGAGTAAAATTCTATGTAAACATTTCCAGAGTTTTACTTTAAGTATCCAAGGTACCAACTCAACTCCTGGGTGCACGTGTTGACTTCAGTGACTGGGATACAATAGCCACTGACGTGCATATAAGTGCCAAAATATGGCTATGAGATAAAAGGAGAGGGAGGAACTACTCCAGCAACTAGTCACACATTTGTGAGCTGCAAGAGCAAACGCACATTGTAGTTTAAGTCCATGGATCGCTTGGATACTTGTTTTATTAAATATCCACCTAGATATTAACAAACGGGTTTCCTTTTGTTCTCCGCCAATAAACGTTTTCATAATAAATAAAAGAATAAATAAAAGGAACACACACTGGATATAAAGAAAGAGGAATGGTAGCTTACCTTAATGTAGTTGATAAATTCCGTTAGAAAGCTATGGGACTGGATACAGCAAGGAAAACAAGTTATTAATTCAAATGAACAGAAATCAAATCAAATGTGTCTGCAAATTGATGGAAAAATAAGGATTGTAAAATAGACTTAATTGTACAAGGCACTGCACGAGGGACAGATTCTCATTTGTTGCACCAGCGTAAATCTAGAGTGAATATCATCTATGAATTTGCACTGATTTATCTGAAATCAAAAAAGGCTCAAGGTGTCTGTATTTAAATAAAATATATATATTTATACCTGTCCAACTAGAGTGGAAATATCCAATTTCTAGCTTCTTTATGTCTATGTCATAGGTAGCGTGTCACATTCACGTTGAGACCAAGTTACTTTCTGCACCTTCTAGTAAGTTACAAACACCGAGGACCAAATCTTGCCCTATGGACGTGTGAAGGGCAGGGTGTGGGGTGATATTAATGGGAGGCTGCTCAGATGCATCCAAGGGCAGAATTTAGCCTGGACTACTCATCACACAAGAGAAACTGGAGCCGATTTCTTTTAAACTTGGACGCCTAAAATTAGGCATCTAAATCAATAGTTAGGCATCTAAATAAAAGTTGCCTGATCATCAAAGGCGCTGCACAACCAAAATTTGTATTCAAGTCAATGGAAGATGCCGGTGCTCAGAACCTCTGGAAATTATTAAGTCATTTATATTAGTTGCCTAACTACAGATTTAGGTGCCTAATTCTAGACACTCGAGCTTGAGGATGTTGGTAACCAATAATTGACTAGTAACCAATAACCAGTGACAGAGCATGTGACTGCAGCAGGATACTGGATGCCTCGTAAAGCACGAGGCAGAAAGCCTACAGCCTTCCAGCCACGTTAGCACTGACAGCAGCCCTGTATAACTGTGTATCTTGGAATGTCTTTGTTTAACAGGCATTTGAAATATGTACTTTATAAAAAAAAACATTAAGTTGAGAACAAGGCCCCCAACCTCCATCTTAAGCAAGTAAAGCCCCTCTCTGCTCCCATTTACATACAATAGCCATCCTGGTCTAGGATCTTATACACCACAGATTCCTTTGCCCCCCCAAACAAATTAATGTGACCAAGTTATATACTCCTGATCATGGGACAATTTTGTCTTAGCCGTAACTGATCTCCCAAGAGTGTCTGTGGTATAATTGGCACAGCTGCTTAGCACTGCATGTAACTTACAAACAGATGGGAAAAGTCTGTTTTAGCCACTTTTTGCTGTTGTAAGACACTACTACTCATAAGTTCAGAAATGCCAATGGCACAGTAAGGGTAGATTTAAAAGGAACGGATAGAAGTTAAGCACCCTAGTCAAGCTAACTTTCAGTAGGAGCTTGGCACCAAACTGCCCTTTGAACCTCTGAAAATCTATTCCACCCTCACTAACGTGGCATGACTTCTATTGGTCTTAATTTAGAGCCATGATGAAGAATGCTCCTTTGGTTTAGAGTGGGTGGCTGGACAGAGGGAGAGAAAAAAAAATCACCAATATCAATCTGATTTACACCGATGCCACCCCACTGAATAAACTGGGGTCGCAGCAGCGTAAGAATTTTTGACACTTAAAAAAATGTTATGCTAACATCAGATGAATTCAGCTGCAAACATCTGGAGCACGAGATCTCCATTCCCGTCATTATTTTATAGCACTTCACATTAAAACAAAGCCAACCATTTCGTCTCTGATGGGTTATGAATGAGAATCTTGCCTTCCACAGTGGCAGCATTAAGAAAAAAAAATCAGTTACCACGATGTGAAATACCACATTTTATAAGCAGCATCCAAAAGACATGCTTATATGCAGCCATAATAGAGTGCTACAGTCCTATGCAGAGGGTAAGGAATTAGCAATAGTCACTTCCATCACAGAGTGTACAGTTCTAACACCACACAACCAGAAACACCCGAGATATGGGCATTTTAATGCTTCATTTAATAAATTACGTTTAAAATCAGCTTTAGTTCAGTTTCATTCCCCTGATTTAGTGATAATTCAACCCCTTAGATATTGAAGCTGGATTTAAAACATACTTGGCAGCTATTTTGGAATCAAACTCTGCCTTTGGAATTGCTCTTTTCCACGGTTATCTGTCCTTCTAGCAGCACTTTCTGCGCTTGTACTGCAGCGTTTCTAACCCTAGGAAGGCATTTGGATTACAGAACTCCTAGGTTAATTCAGCCATGCTGTAAGCAGGTGGAACCCCACTGGGAGTTTGCACTCCTTTCCACGTGAGCTGAATTTGCCCCCTCGCATTTCTCTCTAAATCTAAAGGTTGGTATAAAGAATTCTAATGTTCTCCTATAATGCTCTCGGTTCACATTTACTATACACAAGATCTGTCATTTAAAGGCAAAAAAAATTCCTTATGTGCACTCAGCACACACCATCCAAGTGTTATTTTTAGAAGTAACTCACCCAGGACTTGATTCAGAATGGTTTGGGTGGGTTTTTTCTGTTTTGATTTTTAAAACAATAAGGGGATAAAATGCAATCAGGACAATTTAAACAGCTGAATCTATTCAGTCTCAGGAAGCTGGGTGGGAAGCCAGGAATTCTGGCTGCAGTGACAGCACAACATACCTCTTCCTCGGTCATTGCTTCTTCGACACCCTCCTCTTCAACTACAAAACACTCCTTCAGCTTGAGGTACTCTTCATGCTCCCTCTGCTCCTTTTCTTCTTTTGCTTTCTTTTGTTCCTCTTCCTGCAGAAAAATGAAGTGCTCAAGTCATTCCTCCCCAAACCAGGTTAGTTTAATGGAGACCCTGCTTACTTTATCACTTGGGTGCCAATCGGATTCACTGGGACAGGCCAGGAACAGAAGGACTTTCTGAAAACTGAAACTCTGAAGCTCTCCCTTGATCGCATCATTAATTTCAAAAACAGCTCTGCCTCTGTCCTTCTAATACAGTAATTGTCTCAGTCAATTCAGCTGTTCCTGGGCTGGCTCGGAAAAGATCTGATGAAGGGGAGAGAGACACTTTTATATAGCGAACTGCTTCCTCAATTTGCATGAGCACATTTCTTCTGCAGTGCAAGCTACAGGAAGTCCCTGCCCCCAAACCATACATTGATGCAACTTATCCATTTTCAGTTACTGACCCTGATCCTGCTCTCACTTGCACCGGTGTAAAACAGGAGTAACTACTGAAGTCAGTGGAGTTACTTGTTTGCCACCAGTGTGAGAATGAAGAATCAGGCCGATTACAAGGTTTTAAACAAATGTTTTTTTGATGGCAGACTACTCAACTGGTTATAGGTAAAAGATACAAGGAGCTGTATTAACTGCCTGGTTTATGAACAGAACATAAGAGGTGGCTATAAGGAGAGAAAAATAAAGTTATTCTGTGAGCAGTTCACTCTAGTTAGCTAAAAATTACGCATTCTGGTGCCTTTCAATCATTTGTAGTCGCTAATACTACTTGTGCCTTATAAAGCATTTTAAATCTTCAAAGCGGTGTACAATCAGTAATTAAATCTCCTAACCGCCCTGTGCTGGGGGCATCACAACCATTTAACGAGACAGGAAAACAGAGGCACACACGTTAAGTGACTCGCTCTAGGCTGCCTAGCAAAATCAGGGGCACAGCCAGGATGGGATTGCAGGGGTTTCGTGCGCAGCGCACACCATTTTGCTGCTTTCCATGCATTTTTCCTTAGTGTTCTCAGGAGGAAATACCACCACCATATTAAGCTATTTTTGAAGCAAAATTCTATGACATGCCTGTTTCTAATGACCAGTTGTTTTCTCCATTCCACACTGAAATAATGATGCAGCATTTCTTTGACACTGGTATTATATAGCAGGTGCTTCCTTAAACGGAGCAAAATTGAACAATTGCATCAATAAAATGTACACGGGGAAAAAAGAGGTCCTATCGTGAGGTATAATCCATTAACACATGTATTAAGGGACACTGTTCAGAGCCAGACCCTACAAGAGACCGGATCGGGCCCTTAGAACACGGCACAGAAAAAAATCTGCCCTGTAGTAGAGACAGCCAAAAAATTATTATAGGTCTCAGCACTGCCCGATCAGACTCCCAGGCTGAGTCTCTTGTGGGACACATCCACCCTAACTGAACTGGCCTCGTTAGCACTGACCCCTCCACTTGGTAAGGCAACTTCCATCTTTTCATGTGCTGTATATTTATACCTGCCTACTGTATTTTCCACTCCATGCATCCGATGAAGTGGGTTCTAGCCCACGAAAGCTTATGCCCAAATAAATTTGTTAGTCTCTAAGGTGCCACAAGGACTCCTCGTTGCTTTTGCTGGTACAGACCAACATGGCTACCACTCTGAAACTTGTGGGACTGTGGCCCTGAGAGTAATTATGGTGAAAAAGTGACTGGAAAAAAAAAAAGCATCTAATTTCTTACCAGATCTGATCCTTCTGTGCATTCAGAGTCAAATGGGAAAGATTTTGCTGCTTTTTATTCCTGCAGATTTAACACAGCTTTCGAGAGGGAGTGGGATTATTTTCTGGGTCCTGCCTCACCAAACAGGTTATTAACTAAGATCCAGTTGCAGAATCTTTATTATTAGCAGTGCATGAGCCTGAAAAAACACAGCCTGGCTCTCAGAGCTCTTCTTCACTTGTAAACTGAGCCAATTTGATCTAGAATCACTGAGACACATCAAAGTCCTTCACAGCTCTGTCCCTATCACATCCCTGTAGCTCAAACGCTATGTAGAATTCTGAAGCACAAAAACCCTGACATCACTTTCGAAGGGAAGTGATAAGAGTTGAAGAGTCCTTCAAAATTTCCAGGTGGTTGTTCTGCAAAAATCAAAAGATAACTGGCCCATTTACAACTGTCAGACATCATTTTCCTGTTTCTAAAAGAGGCTGACAAGCAAACCAACCAACCCAGTCTCTCTCTCACGCGTCTACAGAGCTGTGCCTTTGATTTCAGTAGGACAAAAACCTGCCAAAATGTTAGTGTCCGTATTTCCACATCCAGCACACTGTGGGAAACACCTCAGTGCGAGGAGATTGACAATGTGCGCCATTCTTGGTCCCACGGCTTTTTTCCTTGGTCACTCATTACAATCTGACCTACACTTATTTCTCAGACCTACAGCTCTCATTTTGTGATCAGCAGAGCATTTCCAGGAGGCCTGAGCAGCGCCTTCAGTAACAACAGTGAAGCATCCGCCAGCCTTCAAGCCTGAATGCTTGTTAGTTTTAGCCTAGGGCAGGACACTCAGGATTTCCAGAGGCTTTGGTGGAACAACTAAACTGAACATAACAAAAACCCAACAACTCCCTGCTCAGCTGTTTCATGCATTTCTTTGGTGTAAATTCAACCATGATTAAGCCTGAGGACAGACCCAAACTGTAAAGAGATAAGAGAGGAGCTTGTAGACCAATAAATTCACTGAGAGAGGCAACAAACAGCAGAGATGGGACATGTGGGGAAAAAAATATATAGTAAAGCCGCTTTGTCTATTACATTAACACGCATTTATTTTCACCTGGCTCTCTTACTACTGTCTTTGTATCCTTCTTTCATATCACCAAGTACTACAGCTGCTGTGTGGAAAGTGTGGACTCAGGACTAGACGGGGAGGTGTCGACAGGAGAATCTATCCACCTGTAGAAGTGGTCCACGTTATGAAATAGCGCTAAGATCAGTCCTTAACTACTTGGTTTAGTGGCCATTTATGGTGCTGCCTGCCTGCCTCACTCCCAAGGATTTCAGAAACACGAGGGCAACCAGTGAAAACGTTTCAGGGAGCCTGTGGGAGGAAAGCGAAATTAAACCTCTGGAAAAAAGCAAAGTACGGTTATGTCATTTATTTCGGCCTGATCTCAGATCTATTGCTCTCAAGTGAGGCTGCAGGGAGCGTGCAGGAGAGAGAACAGACGGGCCACCTCCCTTAAAGGATGGGCGGGGAGTGGGGAAACCCCAGCACTAAGGAAATTTGTTAACTGCCGCTGCTTACCTTGGTGGTGTTTTTTTTGCTGTGAAGCAGTCGCATCTTTCTCCTCTCCTGCCTCAACATGACACCATGTTTGGGCTCTCTACAAATGTAAAAAGAACAGGAGTACTTGTGGCACCTTAGAGGCTAACAAATTTATTATTATTTGTTAGTCTCTAAGGTGCCACAAGTACTCCTGTTCTTTTTGCGCATACAGACTAATACGGCTGCTACTCTGAAACCAGTACAAATGTAAAGTATTTCTTCTGATCAATTCCTATCCTTCTTATGAAGTATTTCAATCCTCTCCGCCCTCCAAGGAAGTCTCTCAGACCCTGGTATAAATTCACACTCCCTCAGAGACTGTAACCCACCCCCCTTCTAAACACCTGGCAAAATCCACATTTCTTCCTGTCGTACCAGTCCTACGTGGAGTCACATGCTATGCATCTGCCAGGACACACTAAACACTTTGCTAGGAGGGGGCTAATGGCATCAGGGATTTTTCTGGAGCATCTCTGTGGTCTCAGTCTGGTGTAGCACCTTACCACTGAATCTCTGGAGTGCTTTGCAATGTTTTTTCCCCTCAAACAGTCACTGTTTTCTACCTTGATTTGTTCTGCACGGCCGTCGTTCACCACGTACAACAGCCCTTCCCTGTTGCTCACTGCATGCTCTTCTTCCACCCAAATTCTGCCAGGCTAGAAGCTGACTTTACTCACTTCCCATTGTTCACTTTCTCTCCTCACCCATGCCTCTTTCTCCCCTCTTCAAATCCATTTTGGTCTATTGTTTCCATTGCTTTAGAAGTCTAATCGGGGGGTAAGGGATGTTGGGCCAGGCCCTGCTCTTATACCCAGTGTCACCCCAGAGGAACTCTCCTGAAGTCAGTGGGTCCATCTGGATTTATAACCAACAAGGGAGAACAGAATCTGACCTCTGGCCTCTTACAGGCCTGTGACGCGCTGCACAGTTCTGCGGTGCTCTATGAATCACCCCATGCTGTACATGCCGGGAGGATCCTGGCCCCAAGAGGATTAGTTTGATGATGATGGTAACTGGGTAGCGAGGCAGCAAGAGGAACATCATCCAGTAAAGTAGACTTCAAAGCAGAGCTCTCAACTTAGGCCCTTCTTCAGCAAACCATTTAAATTGAAACAAAGCCACAAGGCAACATGGTCAAGTGGGCAGAGTACTGGATTGGGACTTGGAAGACCTAGATTCAATTCCGGGCTCGGCCACTGGCCTGCTAAGAGATCTCAGACAAGTCATTTCGCTCTCTCTCTGCCTCGGTTTCCCCAATTGCAAAACAGGGATAATGGTACTGATCTCTTTTGTAGAGCATTGAGATCTATGGATGAAAAGATCTAGGCGTTACTAATTATCATCTAGTCGATCATCCTGATGGTACAGAATTTGCAGGGCGATGGAAGGGGCTCCGCAGGGAGCACAGGTTAGGAGTCAGGCGATATTTTTGAAACCCAAACCGAGTTCCTCTGTATTTCACATTTTCACTGCTTATGCACAGCACCAATTTCTTAAGAACTCTCTCCTCACTCTAATAATGGGACCTGCTCAAAAGGAATTTTGTTCAAACTTTCTAAATAACTTTACCTTCCTGCCAACATTAAGCATGGGAAATTTTCAGAAATTTATGAATGCCTGAAAATAGCCACAGCCTGAAACTGCACTGCAGTCGTAGCTTGTGAGCGTCCAAGTGACCGCCGTAGATGCATGTGAATTTAATACATCCTCCCGCCACAATTGTACAAGGAG